TGGAAGCATTACGGCAAAGAAATGCCATTGCCTTTCAAGATTTACAATGCCGTTGAATCAATGTGGACAAGGTGCATTATGATCATGGAGGCTTCGGACCAAGTGGCCGCTGCACTATTTTCTCCAAATGGTGCATTCATTATTTCGGGGTCACACAGGGATATGAGACTTCACTTGTGGGATGTGATTGGTGGTCTGCACCTCAAAACTCTTGAAATGCCACTCCCTTCACATCCTAAAATGGGCTACCTTTCTGGTACCTCAATGGCTTTCTCCCCAGACAGTACTCAAGTTCTGTTTTCATCACGTGGACAGACATATAGCTGGGATTTCACCACTGGGGAGTGTCAAATAGCCTTTAGTGAGCCTCAAAGTGCTGTTACAACCATTGCTTTCTCTCCAGATGGCACAAGTGTCATTTGTGGGTATGCAGATAACAGGCTGTGCAAATGGGATGCAAAAACTGGCGGCCATCTTTGCACATTTGATGGTCATACACGTGAGGTCACATCAGTTGTCTTCTCCCAGGATGGCAGTTATATTGTGTCTGGGTCATCCGACAACACAGTTCGATTGTGGGATTCAAGGAATCCGGTGACTCTGAAAACCTTCAAGGGCCATACAGGGTCGGTTGTGTCTGTTGCACTACGTGCTGATGGGGCACAGCTTGCATCTACATCTGACAAGACTGTGAAACTGTGGAATACAGCAACTGGTTCCCTTGTCCGTACCCTCAAGGGACATTCACAATTTGTTACCAGTGTTGAATTCTCGCCGAATGGGCAATTCCTGGTATCAGCCTCCGATGACAACACAATTAGAACCTGGGATACCCAGAGTGGTGCCCTTATACTTCTTCTGGAGGGGCATACAGCCCGTGTTACATCAGTCTCGTTCAATCTGGACGGAACACATATATTGTCTTCTTCCTCAGACCGCAGTGTCCGTTTGTGGGATGTTGTCGGTCCTGAGAATCGAAGTGACATTTCCAGACACATTAATTCTCTTAGTATCATTCAAGTTTCCTCTAACGGGAAATATATCATGTCTATGGATCGCCGAAACAGGAAAGATACAAGTGTGCGTGTGTGGGATGCAAAGACCGGTTCATGCATCTCATTAATAGCAATGCTTAAATCACCTTTCCATGCACTTATATCACCAGACGGAACTGTGGTGGCCTCTATTTCTGAGAAACTAGCTGGTGTACAGCTCAATGATGCAACCAGTGGTAGACTTCTTACCATTCTCCAGGGTGGTCATTCTTTTTGTCATTGCATTGCATTCTCCATGGATGGACAGTCACTTGTGGCTGGCTTAACAGATGGACGTATTCTGCTGTGGGATATAGATACCGGCAACCACCGCACATTCAAGGTTCCTGAAGGGATGTCCTTGGCCTACGACATTGCATTCTCAGAGGATGGAACTCGCATCATGACAGCTGTGCGGGGGCATAAGGTCAACACAAGGACAATTAATACGTGGGATGTCAGCAGTGGGAATCTGCTTGAAACCAAACTCATTCAACCTGGAATGGTATTATCCACCAACGGTAGCTTGGTCCCAGTCATTGGCAAGCCCTACGTGATGACGGAGGGCTGGATATATTCAACGGCTCAGAATCGGCGTATCTGTTGGATTCCAGTTGACTGCAGGCCATCTTATGGAAAAACTCTGGATGTATTCAATGACCAGGTCGCGATCGGAACAGACGATGGAAAGGTTATATTGTTCGACTTCACAGACATTGACTCATACTACAAGAGTCTGGAGTGATTTTTCAAGTTTGTGGAAAGAGGATAGGTACACACTTATTTATTTAAATGGAATTTTGCCTGCGACTCCTGTCATTAGAGCCAAATTTTGCTGATATGTGGATGGTAAACATTGTGGGATTGTTCTCCAAAGCGAATAATATGGAATTTTGTATGACGGTACCTGGCTATAGTTGGGGAAGCATTTCTGGTCGCCATTTTATCATTTACATAGGATCAATATATTGGTCAAATAATACTTGATTTCATCCGTGTGAAGGACATTTGGACTTTGATGTTTGCAATTGTCCAATTGGACTCGATCCTGACCTGAATACGAAAGTCATCTTGCAGAGGTTGCTGCCCCGCACCAATATCTAGTTAAAACAGTATGTATGACAGATCTTGCAGTCAAAGTGAAAGCTATATATCTTTCGAAAAAAATCCAGCCCCTAAACAGGATGCCCTTGGTGGAGAATTGAACACACACCTTCTGGCGCAAAATTTCACCCTTATTGACAACAGACAACTGCCATGGTCCACGAGGGCTTACTGATAGGGTTCATTGGTTTGGGTATATGTTCGTTGTTTCATTGTGTACACAGAGATGCGGTGAATTTACACATGTATAGAGTATTTCCAAGAGAAATTAATTTGCGGAGATGATGAGTTCCAGCAAAAGATAGAATTTAATAATTTGGTTCACGAAGAAAGAAGTTGGGCTTGTTGTACAATGCCCTCAGAGGGAATCGAACCCTCGTCTTCTGGCCGCAGCGCGTAGTGTGGATGATTTGAATGAGACGACCGCCATGGTCCACGAGGTACATTTGCGGGCTTGGGTATGTATGTGTGCATTGTTTTGAGAGCGCACAGTGAGTTTCACGATGTCGACCATACATTTACAGAGAAATGAGCTGGGGGAGCTTTCTGCGGATAAATTGTATTTGAAAATGTAGACGTCACAGATCATCCACAAATACTGACGTCACTTCGTCAAAAAAAAAAAAAGTGCGTTTGCAATTTTGTTATGCACTTGGAGGGAATCGAACCCACGTCTTTGGCGGTAATAACAATACAAACAGCTAATTGAACCAGACGACCACCATGGTCTACAAGAGCTTATTTGTATACTTGTGAGCTTGGCCATGTGTGCTGCATTCAAGGGTTGCACAGAGCGCAGGTGCGGGGAATCTTCAACCCGAACCATACATTTACATTGAAGAAAAAATCAACTTGCAAAGGCGCTCAGCCAGCTCTTCCATTGAATTTCGCCTGAGCTGACAGATTTTGAGCTAATCTTGAATGTGCTGAAGGGAAAAAAAATCTTCTTCGCACTCTGCTTCATGCCCTCGGAGGGAATCAAACCCTCGCTTTCTGGCCATCCTCCGCGGGTTATTGGTTTCCAATTTGAACCAGACGACCATCATGGTCCACGAGGGCTTATTTGTATCGTTGTGAGCGTGCTCGGTTGCACGGCATAGCCGCGGTAACCTTGAAGTATCCTCGCCTCGCTATTGTATTTACAATGAGTGAAATCAGCTTTGCGGAGCCTCGCGTTGAATAAAATCTAACTAAAATAGATCGAAGTCAACAGATCGTGAACTAATCTTGAACTTACTGAAGGAAAAAAACTTCTTTACGTGGCTAGCCTGATTGATGCCCTCGGGGGGAATCGAGCCCTCACATTCTGATCATGCACTTCCTTGAAGATGAATCGGTTCCAGACGACCCCCATGGTCCACGAGCGCTTGGATGTATATCTGTGAGCTTTGTTATGTATGGATTGTTTGACAGTGCAGAATTTCCAGCCCTACGTTGTATTTATAAATTGTGAAATCAACCACCGGAGGCCGCTGCCTTGTAATAAATTCAAACTCAACAACAAATGTGAGAATCTTAGAGTGGCTATGGACCGATTGAAAAAAAAAAAAACCAGATCCGAGTCTTCCCTACTGGCCGTGATGGGGCACCGGGTCAGATGGGGTACCGGGTCAAACCGATATCCTGCCAGAATTAGGTAGCTCTGGGCCCAAAGTTAGTAGTACATTATCTTCGTTAGCATATGGCAATATCAGGATATGTTTTGCAGAAGTATCCGACAAAATTTAGGTGAGCACGACGATGATTTTGTCGACGACTTGGTGCATATTGCCATTTTAGGTCATATTCTGAATCTGATCTCCTCCGTTGCTCGCTGTCCGTTCGCAGGTTACCCTCAAAGCTTTTTTTGAGGCTGTACAAGTATATAATGAACATTCCCAGGAAATAAGCTTGCGCATATAGGGCTTACTGAATTCGCAGCATCATGATTTGTCAATGCCAGCAATTTATGAACTTGCTGCCGTTTAGGCAGACCAATCTGGGCACCAAAAGACAACTGAGGTCGTAATAACTTGCTGGAATCTAATACAAGGGTTACATGAATACTTATAAAAAGGATGGGCCAAAGGGAGACCTATCGCGGGGTGCACCGACGCGACGAGAAGCAAGTAGGGTCACATCAATAATTACTCTCTAGAATTCTAAGTGGCAGCTTAACAAACAGTCAGTGAGCATAAAAGCATTGAGGTGAATGCCCCGGGTCGTGACAAAAATAATCAGAGCAGTGGCTATTGGCATGACTATGCAAGACGCGACACAAGTGTTCAGACGCGTCGAATTGGGAGGCATTACATAAGTGAATCACACGTCAAAACTGCTGATCGACCAATCGGATGATCCCCATATTTCACGGTTTGGGCAGGAATTTATTCAGTACCCGGTGAGTCTCTCATAACATATTTAACTGCTCCCTTAGTACTCATTTATGCAGGACTTGTCCAATTCAGATTTGTACCCAGAGGATCTTATTAGATGGTATTCATCAAAACATTTCAGTTGACCCGGTACCCTGTCATGCCCAGTATTCCTTCGGAGGAAATCGAACCCACGGCTTCCGGCGACTAACGACAAAGAGGTACGGCGCATTTGAACCAGACGACCACCATGGTCTACGAGGGCTTATTGGTAGACTTGTAGACTTCGGTATATGTGGTTTTTTTTCAGGGGCGTACCCACCAAACATTATATTTACGCCGCAATCTTTTCTGCCGACAAAGAGTTGGGCTCACTCGCGATCGGCAAATTTGAGGAGTAAGTATTCTATGATTCCGACCGCGATGGTGAGCACTTGTTTTCGTGCAGAGAAGTCTCTGAAACAAGTGCTCGCTACGTAGTTCAGAAAAAATACATGACGCTGAGCTATGTCTTCGGAGGGAATCGAACCCTCGCACTCTGGCAGTTTGCAACCCGTTTTTCCAATTGAACTAGACGACCACTATGGTCCACGAAGTATTAGATGTACTTTTGTAGGCTTTCTTATGTGAGTTATTTCACAGTGCTACCGTGGTGGATTTCGACCTGGATATTATTTCCTGCGAGAGAAGTCAATCAGCTTGGGGATGCTAGTGTTCCGATGAATTCCAACTGTATGTATGTATAACATGGAATGCGGCAGCAATTCTGACTTGCTCACCAGAAAAAAACAAAACATGGTGTTGTTCTGCTTCCACCATATACCCTCGGAGAGAATCGAACCCTCGCCTTCTGGTAGTACAGAAGTTTGCTTCTTTGACTTGAACCAGATGGCTACCATGGTCTACGGGGCCTTTTTATTGGTATCATTTATGACCTGGGATATGTGGGTTGTTTCTATTGCGGGCACAGCGGAGCGGAGGCGAATGGACATCGCCACACATGTGCTATTCTGGAAATAATCAGCACCCGTGCGGGCTGTGGAGATTATCGCAGGTGAGAGCGAAGGAAATATTAAAGCAGGCGGTTGGGTGGTCGCACTATCCTTTCCGCAGCTGCGTGCTCTGGCGGCTATCGGCGGGGAGCGGCTGTGCATACGCGCGCCGGGTATGTACCATGGTTCTGGTCGTCGATGTGAGGAGGTGAGATCAGTATTTTTGGGAGTTCTGGTGGGCTAATTGGGCTGAACGTGCGTTGGACTTGTGGATTATGGCAGCCGGATTGCCAGTGGATCAAAAGAAGGGGGGAAAATCCTTGTGAGGATAGCGGTACTGACGGATTCTAAGACCCAATCAAGAGATAGACCGAGATCAAGAATAAAATTGCGCACGACGTCGGAGAGTCTTGACACGTTCTCTTTCACAGCCCCCGAGCCACGGATTATTTGAGCTTTTGCTTGAACTGCAAGGAACGCTTCATCGAAGTCGGTCCCGGATCAATTCCGCATGTACGTCACCTGAGGCTCTGGTGACAGGCAAGTGAAAGGGTCCTGATGGCGCTTATGTAATGGCTCCCATCACCAGAATTTTGGCAAATTCAGTCGGTCCATCGTACGGTGTCAACCATCCACATTCTGGCCAAGCTTTGAGTGTGAGTTAGTCTTAGTTTTGCATTTTACAGGGAATAATGTCCCGCATATAATTTTTATTTAGGCTCTCAATGCTTTGATAATGGCTTCCATCACCAGAATTTTGACAAATTCAGTCGGTCCATCGTACGGCGTCAACCATCCACATTCTGGCCAAACTTTGAGTGTGAGATCGTCTCAGTTTCGCATTTTACAGAGGATTTCCCGGACAGAAAATGGATTTTGGCTCTCAATGTTTTCCATGTGTAATCTGTTTTTCGTCTTCATTTTTTAACAAAGGTTCTAAGAACAAATTGGAAAATGTGCGCGGGACATTCCCTGAAGGTTGATTTTATCAGCTCATTGCATTTTAGTTTAGGGAAAACGGTACAGTATTGGATGTGCTATGATGGACCAAAGAATTCACCGTAAAACAGTAGAAGTGATTGCATCAGACACGTCCACCTGAGGGTCGATTTGCGGTTTACGGTCCCATTTGGTGCTTTTAAACATAGAAGATACCTTGAATACCCTATTGTGAGTGTACAAGATGCCTCGGATGACTTGAATCAATGCTACGGAGTCTCTGGTCGATGTGGAGGCAATTTGCCATCGAAATCTGCCGTTTGGCAGGCGGTGCAAACAAGTGCAAAGGGACATTTGATGCCCGCCAGTTGCCTGTCACCATCACCTCCGCAATACCGGAGCTCAGGCCCGGTGGCCCTTGACTCTGCCCACCACCATCCACTGACTCTCGACACTTGACTATGGACGATTATTGTTACACCAGGCTTGCATCCGGTTGCACGTTATTCTTCCTTCTTACTTCTACAAGACATGCCTGCGCTTCGCTCCGGCAACAGGGATGTCGATAAGGACGTTTGTTAAAGTCGTACACCCATCAGGATAAAACTAGTGCTGCATTGCAGCATTGAAAATAAAATCTGTGAAGGAAGAGGACTTGCACGAAAAAGTTTTTACGCCATATCAGTCATTCAAAGTCGCCCATAAAGTAAAATATACCCAACTTGCGAAAGGAAAGGTTTGTTGTTTGGTCTGTGGAGAATTGCTATCAAGATGCGGTAACAGGAGACTTTGCCAGATGTTGTAGGAAGTCCAGGAGACCCGACGAACGGAATGAACGAACAGAAATATTGGCAAATGACAGGTCTGGATAGAGACCGGGTTTCTTTCCCTTCCCCCCACTCTTTTGGGGCAAGCTCCTATAGTGAATATTTCGTTTAAGTGCAACTGCACTTCCACGCTCCTGAACTTTTTTTCTTTGAACCATAATATATGCCTATATGTTGTGGAAGTGCCACTCGCTCCGCTCGTCGCCTTCGATATCTGAGCCAGTTCAACCTGCCAACCAAATATCCCAGCACATTCTGATCAAGATTTGTTTTGTTCTTCCATTTTCTCTCACATGTTCATTTTACAATTACTGACATTCATTTCACCAATTCCCTTTCAGATTAATAGACTTTGTGCAATTCAGTCGCAAGTCAATTTATCCAAAGTAGTCTTCTCTTGATGCGGAAATGTTTTATTATTGCGTTTTCGGCTTGATTTCATATTCCTACTTGACTCTATATCGAGAGTAAGACTCTATATTCTTACTCTCGAAAAGAGTTGCGGGGGAATAAGTTCAGAATTTTGGATCTTTTAGACATGAAGAGAAATGAAGAGGTTTAAATTGGCGCGCTTAATTACAGGGAATGGATATTATTTCTACTCATTACTGCTGCGAGTGGGATGGTGAGAAAAAAAGAGCCGAGATGATCTCACCGAAGTCTAAAGAGTCAAAAGAGGCACCTCTGAACATCCAAATTGTCTCCAAATTGTCCCCTAACCGAGGGGACATTTTGGATGTGTTCGATTGTAGCGGATGGAGAAAGCTCGCAGGGTCCTGTGTTCACAGTTAAACTGTTGCGGAAGCCTGAAATCGGAAATGCCATGAGTTTTTCTACAGAAGTTTTTTACAGAATCAAATAGGACGTACCCATAACCCCGCGTTCCGGCTTAGTTTGTAAGTACTGCAGAACGACTACATTTGAGCGGACGCATGGCACAGACATATAAGGTAACCCACATTGTTTGTCATGAATTGAGAATTATGGGCAGATGGTCGTGTCTGGGGTTAAAAAATGAAAGGGAGTGTAAGAACGTGCGGGAGTGTATGTTCATTGGAACCATGGGTGCGCAGCCATTACTGGGATCATTCAGGGCTTTGAAATAACATACAGAATACACACCGGCTGGGGATATATTGAAAAAGTAACTGTTGAAACTCAGCAGGTTCAGGCCACCTTTCTGTCGAACGTATTGTGTCACTGAAACCAGTCAGTTACGAGTTACGAGGCCAGGACATACTCAAGAGCAGAGACTACCGAATGGGTTGCGGCGAGGAAGCATGGAGGAGCGTGAAAGCAGATGGGTGAATATAAACAAAACTGGACGTACTGCGGGGAAAGAAGCCGCGAATCTTGGTGAGCCTGCGGATATAACTGAGTAAAGACATAGGAGCAGTGCAGAATAATGAGAAATGCACAGCAAATGCACACTGCCAGCAAGAGAAGTGAGATAGATGGGGAGACGGTGAGAGCCGAGCGGAGAAAAGGAGCCCAAGCAAAGTTAAAACAGCTTTTATTGCGTTTGATCGGTGGCAGTGATGAATATTTTGCGGAAATATTCAGGAAGCGGAGAGGAACTGAGAGGAACTGAAGATGTGGCATTTGTGAGCGGTGAAAAAATCGGTGGGATGCAGGGCTTTTATACGAGAGGCGATACAAATATACGTGGCCGCAGTAGTGTCTTCTCCTGCGGCACAGTACGGCTCCGGAGCTTGCGAGGTACGCGTCATGTCAGCACAATCAGTACCTCAGCTTCGGACTGCGGCACAGCTGAGCACATGAGGTCTTTTAATTTTCCTTCACCAACCACCTTACTCGGAGCACAGCAGAATGGGGAAAGGCTGTATCATTGCTGCGAAATGGTGGGAGCTGAAATCAGGTTGTACAAAGAGCTACTGGAGATGAACCGCAATGGAGATATGACTAAAGGGGATGGGACCAAATGTATGCAAACTGATTCGAGACATCTCGTTAAGAGAACGGATAATTACTTGGCTACTTCTACAAGACTGTCGGATATTGATCGGATATCTAATCTATTCTATTCGACACAGCGCAACGCACACAAGAACGCGAAGGGAACGGGCCCAGGAGGAGCAGGGAAGAGAATACGGCGCGTCTGCGCGCGCCGGAGGCTCCGAGGTGCGTTATTTTTGGGGGGCTTACTTGTTTATTCCTCTTTTCATCCGCTTTATTCTGTCTTCTGTGACTTCGCTCCTTTATTCCTCCACACATTCCCCACCTTCTTCCTTCCTCCCTCCCTAATCCTCCCCTTACTCGCCTTTTTAATTCTTTCATTCCTTCCATGCCACCACTTCATTCTATGCACCCCACCCCCCACGTCCCTCATTACTTCGTCCCATTAATCCTTCACCTTCCTTCGCCTCTCCTTATCGCTCGTTCATCTCCCTTTTTAATCCTTTCACGATCGTGAAGGCGTTTATCCGCGCCAGGACGACGCCGTTTATCAGCACGGCTATCCCGGTGTCTCCCCGCCGCAGGGTAAGTACGCATCCCCTTATCACGGTGGGATCGTCGACAGAACGTCGGTGGTGACACAACGCGAGGGCTCCTCCCCCGTGCGGCGGCCGACAACGACGACGACGCGAGCCTCACCCGCGGACCCTTTCTTTCTTTTCTTTTCCCTTTTTTGTCCTCTTTTTCATTTTCATTCTCTTTGATGTGATATTCGCCGTGTGCCGATCTGTCCTCTATCATCCTTTACTCCTCTCACCGCCTCCGTCTCGTTCCTTCCCTTCTCTCCTCCGCTCGCTCTCCTCCTCCCAGCCTGCTTCGGCACCCGCCCCGAATCACACACCAC